CAGGGATTCGGACATAAGTCCAACGTGTGTCCTTCCAGGAGAACGGTTGCTCTTGCTGAGTATGAAAATGAAAAGGAGCCTGATGAATATGAAGGTGCTAAGTTTGCTGAAGAAGAAACTGAGGAGAGAGTGAATATCATGGTCCGGCAAATTTTGTTCTCATCCAAGGAGGAAGGACAACGGAAAAGTTTGTTTCGTGCCCACTGTTCTATTAAGAATAAACTGTGTAACCTCATAGTGGATAATGGAAGTACTGAGAATCTAGTATCCCAGAAGCTAGTGGAGTATTTGAAATTGGAAACAGAAACACACCAGAAACCCTATTCTTTGGGTTGGGTGAGCAAGGGGTCACAAGTGAGGGTATCACAAACCTGCAAGGTCCCTATCTCTATTGGGAAACACTACAAGGATGAGATTATGTGTGACGTTTTGAATATGGACGTGTGCCATGTGCTACTCGGTCGACCTTGGTAGTGTGACAACGATATCACATATCGGGGTCGTGATAACGTATTGATGTTCACCTGGGAGGGGCACAAAATCGCTATAGCACCGGTAGTCAATTTCGATAAGGATTCAAAAAGAGAGAAAACTAGTTTTCTTATCATGGTTGATAACATAAAGGAGTTGGATACAGCCATCCGAGACGTCGAGTGTATTTATCCAGTAGTAGTGAAGGGATTGTTGAGCGTCGTCAAGGAGAGTATTGAAGTACCGAATGAAGTACAGGCCATTTTGAGGGATTTCAGTGAGCTTATTTCTGAGGAACCGCCAAACGGTTTACCCCATATGCGCGACATTCAGCACTATTTTGATTTAATCCCGGGAGCCAGTTTGCCTAACCTTCCTCACTACCGCATGAGCCCTAAGGAGAGCGAAATTCTAAGGGAGATAATTGAAGAACTGTTGAAAAGGGGGCTTAAAGTATGAGCCCTTGTGCTGTTCCGGTTCTTCTAGTTCCTAAGAAGGAGAACCAGTGGAGAATGTGTGTTGACAGCCGGGCTATCAACAAGATTACCATCAAATACAGATTCCCAATACCGCGACTGGAGGATATGCTTGATGAGTTGGCAGGAGCTAAATTTTTCTCAAAAATAGATTTACGCAGCGGCTATCACCAAATTCGGATCAGACCCGGGGATGAGCAGAAGACTGCTTTTAAGTGCAAGGACGGCCTCTTCGAGTGGCTAGTGATGCCCTTCGGGCTAACCAACGCCCCTAGCACATTCATGAGATTAATGAACCAGGTTCTTCGTCCTTTTATTGGTTTTTTTGTGGTAGTTTACTTTGATGACATCCTCATTTACAGCAAAACTAAGGAGAAACATTTGAAGCACCTCACGCAAGTGTTACAAGTCTTACAAGAAAACCAGTTATATGTTAACCTAAAGAAATGCATGTTCTGCACCAACCAATTGCTTTTTCAGGGTTTTATTATTGGTGAGAACGGGGTTCAGGTAGATGATGAGAAAGTGAGAGCAATTAAAGATTGGCCAGCTCCCAAGTCTGTCAGCGAGGTACGCAGCTTCCACGGGTTAGCCACTTTCTACCGGCGCTTTGTGCGGGATTTCAGCACTATTATCGCTACTATCACTGATTGTCTAAAAAAAGGAAAGTTTTGTTGGGGCCTTGAACAAGAACAGAGTTTTGCATTGATCAAAGAAAAGCTTTGCACTGCACCAGTTCTTGCTTTACCTGATTTTGATAAAATATTCCAAGTTGAGTGTGACGCAAGTGGCATCAGGGTAGGTGTTGTACTCTCACAGGAAAAGCGGCCCGTGGCTTTCTTTAGTGAGAAATTAAGTGAAGCCAGACAGAAGTGGAGTACATATGACCAAGAATTTTATGCAGTGTTTCGTGCTCTCAGGAAATGGGAGCATTATTTGGTCCAGAGGGAGTTTATTCTATTTACTGACCATCTTGCCTTGAAATTTCTCCACAGCCAGAAGATCATAAACAAGATGCACGCGCGATGGGTGAGTTATCTGCAGAAAATTCCTTTTATTATTCAACATAAGTCTGGGATTCAGAACAAGTTAGCCGATGCTTTGAGTGGAAGGGCTTCCTTGTTAATCACACTAGCCCAGAAAATTATAGGTTTTGAGTTGCTGAAAGAGTTGTATGAGAATGACACCGATTTCCATGAATTATGGACTAAGTGCCGTGATCTCCATCTAAGTGCTGATTTTCATATTAATGAAGGCTACCTTTTTAAGGGAAATCGACTCTGTATTCCCCGAACTTCACTATGAGAGAAGCTAATTCGTGAATTGCATAGAGGCGGACTTAGTGGGCATCTGGGCAGGGACAAGACTATTGCTAACCTCGAGGAACGTTATTTTTGGCCTCACCTGAAGAAAGACGTCAGTACCATTGTTCGGAAGTGCTATACCTGTCAGGTTTATAAAGGCCAATCCCAAAACATTGGCCTATATACGCCTCTGCCCATTCTGGATGACATTTGGCAGGACCTATCTATGGACTTTGTGCTTGGTTTACCTCGGACACAGAGAGGTGTGGATTTCGTGTTCGTAGTGGTTGATAGGTTTTCCAAGATGTCCCATTTTATAGCCTGCAAGAAAACTGCGGATGCCTCTAATATAGCCAAATTATTTTTCAGGGAGATAGTGCGTTTGCATGGAGTTCCTAAAACCATTATTTCGGATAGGAACACCAAATTTCTAAGTCATTTCTGGATTACCTTGTGGCGGTTATTTGGAACAACGTTAAATAGAAGCTCTACAGCTCACCCGCAAACGGATGGACAGACCGAAGTAACGAACAGGACATTAGGAAATATGATCAGATGTGTTTGCGGGGAAAAGCCAAAACACTGGGATCTAGCATTGCCGCAGGTAGAATTTGCTTACAACAGCGCTGTGCACACAGCCACGGGGGCAACACCTTTCTCTCTGGTCTACACTTCCGTCCCCAGACATGTAGTGGATCTGGTGTCGTTGCCTAAAGTTCCTGGAGTGAGCTCCGCTGCTGAAAAATTGGCCAGAGATGTCCAGGCTACTAAAGAAGTTCTGAAGGCTAAGCACAGGCAATTGAAGGTGTTTTCCGTTGGTGATGATGTAATGGTATTTTTGCGAAAAGAAAGGTTTCCGGTAGGGACCTACAAGAAGTTGCAACCCCGCAAGTACGGCCCTTTCAAAGTGACAAAGAAGATTAATGACAACGCCTATGTCATCGCTCTTCCTGACTTTTTGAATATTTCTAACACGTTCAATGTGGCTGATAGATATGCATATCACGAAGATGCTACTCTTTACCCCGATCAGAACTCAGGGTCGAGTTCTTCAGAGGTGGAGGAGACTGATGCAGATAGGCTCGCTGAGCAAATCGAAAAGGAGCTGGCAGAACGAGCAGCCTAGTGTTTGGGTCTCAAATGTTATGTTTTATTTATTAATTTCTACTTTAAATTTCATAATTTACTTCTTGTTGGGTTTGGGCCTTAAAAGCCACACCCAAATAGTATTTAAGCTTTCCAAGTACGTTAAACAAAGGATACGTTTTGATTAAGCAAATAAACGAGGAGTCTTTCTCTGTTTTCGGTGGATTTCCGAAGAAACCTTTCAAGTTCGTTGATGGCGAACTCAAGCATCAAATTCGAGGTTATCAGTTTAATCTCATGCTTCTTTGCTGCGTCAGAAGGAGATCCTCAGAAGCGTTGGGTTGGACCAGAAGCCATATGGAAACGACAACGTTAGGTCAGCGGCGATGAGTAGCGGACAAGGGCTGGATAGATATGGCAATATGGCAGGAACCTGCTCTAAGACCAACTTGAATAAAAAAAGGTTTAAGGAAGAGAGTAGTTTTATGGTTGTGTGTCTATCCACAATCCTGAACTCATTTATTTATAATAATAATAAGTGTACAAGTACATTAATAAAAGAAAGGAGGTGAAAGGTCAAATAAGATGCAAGGTCAGTTCTAGAAAATACAGAGGAGTCTATTTAGTTACCAATAAATCTTGATAACTCTCACATCTTCAATTCAGATTTAATAGCAGTCGTTAACTCCTTATTTTTTATGCTTGTAAATGGATAACAACATACAAATGTTTGGTTTATTTATTTCTTATGTTTTGGAGGTATGATGTTTTCTTTTGGACTGTTTTAAGTTGCAGACCAGACCAGACCACACTTCCATGGTTATAAAATACACAGAGATAGACATTTACCAGACCAGACCAGATTTCAGACCATCAAATTTCAGTCCAAAAGAAAACATCCGCAAACATGACCTCATATAATAGCTATTTGTTTATATTAGTAAAATTTTAATTTTCATTTTGACGTTTCCGTGTGGTGTACCTGTATCTTGATATTTTGATATTGGAGCTTACTCGTCCCCCTTTCCGTTTCCGTTTATGTTCTGGTGCTACTTAGCTAAGTTGTGGTGTAATAATGTAACTGTTATACACATTGCTACTAATCCAGTATTTCATGAAAGAACAAAGCATATTGGGGTTGATTGTCATTTTATTCTGGAGAAGATACAAAAAACATTGTTCTCTACCAGATATGTGAAAACTAGAGAAAAAAATTAGTGATTTATTCATTAGAGCACTAAATGAGTTGATTACTCAATGTAACAAGTTGAGCATGATAAATATTTATGCTCCAACTTGAGGGGGAGTGTGAAAGCTATTAGAATAAGTTTAAGAATATGCTTAAGAATATTTTAGGAATATACTCTATGATATTATTATGGTATAATATCTTTATAGGAATATTATATCTTTGTAATTTGTAATTATAGGGACTTAACCCTCCAATGAAATACACAAAAAATCCTTCCTCATATATTATTTTTAGTTTATACTCTATATTTCAACATTCCCCAAAAGAACAATACTTAAAGGCTAATACTGAAAGGCTAAAGACTTAGAATTGCAGCTTTAAACAATTAAACCTATTAGTAGATTTTGTATTTGTTTGTGAACTTAAAAAGTAAAGCATAAATGAACAGCAATAGTTATAGAAAAGAGAGATAAACCTCAAATGAACAGCAATAAAACGTTTTGCCATATTCTGCATACGAAACACGAGTTTTTGACCCATACTTCTTATGGGTTTAGTAAATCTTAAGGCATGATAATTCACTCGACAACGCAGCCTCTGTAGTTCTACATCCAATTCATTGGTAAGGCGATAATCAAACTTTGTCAGCTGAAGAACCTGCAAGCAATAACAGGGTTCCATTTAGTATGTAAAGTTACCAAGAAACTCATTCTACCATACAAGTCTTTCAATATTTTCATACACCTTGAGAAAAGAGAATAGTGTTAGCTTGGCTTGTTAAGATGGTTATAGACATCTCCATATAAAAGACAAGCAGGGCAGTCATTCATATAACCACAGCAAATGCAAAAGGCTCTGCTCTGATAGCCTAAATTGTATGAGGACTAAATAAGATCCAAACTTTATAGTCAAGAACATAATTGCATCCAATAAATACTTGATGACCAAGAACTGTGATCGAGGGACTGTACTGACTATTAATTCTACATTCTCACACACTGAGTATCAGAGTAATCTCCAACCCCACAAAAAAGGACAGACTTAACAAGAATATCAGTCCATGATCCAATTACCAAAGTAAAACATGGCAACAGTACATGAATACCTTATATTTAATGCTTACTCATTAACAGTTCCATGGAACACAATTACTCATCACATAAAAGCACTATCCTATGTGTTCCCTCTTGTGCACTATACACTGTGCATGATAAGACCACATCTGGAACACCCTAAGTTAAGGGTAATGTTAGGAAAGCACTATGTTTGGACATTCGAGGGAGACATTCCTATAAGGTTCACTTTCATTGGGTTATGATCACTTGTCTTACTTCACTGAATGTGTGCCACGTAGAGATGTCTCCCCATAATCCCCAAATTAATGTCTTCTAACACTTCAAAAATTAACTCAGTTGGTGGAAGAACTTTTTGGCGTATTTTTATTGTTAATATACATAAAAGAAAAAGTCATAAGGCAGGATGAATAATTTCCGGTTATTTCCCAGCACAATAGAAATGATAACCTACTGTATTTATACTAGCACCAAAAAAGAGACATTAAGAGCCATAGCACTAGTTTTCAAATACATGATGCTTGGTGAGGAATATGTTGGTCACCAAGTTTAAAATTAGTACAGCCTGCTTACACAGAATTATGTTTTATTTTATCATGTACAGTGAAACACTAATGGTGTCGCCCATCAGGAAAAGTATAACCAAATCACTAATCACAGTGATAGGTTTGTCACTTACACGTCTTCGTAACAGTATAGGTAAAACTTGGTCCAAATAGTATTCTGGCTCTGACTTTCTAGGAACACGCATTGTATATGGGGGTTTTTCCATTGATCTCATAACCTTCTCTGGGACTCGCTTGACAATAGTTACATCTTTGGTCAGGTAATAGATGAACCAGTTCACATCGAATATGTTGACAAAATCACTGCATTTAAATATCATTGTAAAAGGGTAAAGGAAAACGATAAGAAAGACGAAACCTTGTTTTAGATCATCATGATTACAAAGCTTGCAATGCATTTCTAAAAGGAAACAGCACAATCTGGACAAACCTATCATCTTTCCAAAATGAATGGTGATCTAACTCAGGTACAACTAAAGTTGCATTCAGTATCCTTGCAACTACAACTGCATCAGTTATCTGTGAAATGTGAACAAATAAATAAATTAGAAATGGGAAATCTGATATGTAACTTTATAAGCAAGGAAACTCAAAAGTAAAAATTGAAATTACAAAAATCTTTAAACATCCTACTATCCTATAACGTTATCATTCCAACCAAAATAAAGATGATTGAGAACTCTTACTCCAGTCCTTTGTTGGTTTAGCCCTCCACTAGTTGCAATGAGTAGGTACCCATTTGAAGATCGCTCAGAAACCGGGCCTATAGTTCAAATTGGCGTTGTAAAGGACTTTTTTGCTCAAAAATTATACAATAGAGACAAGCTAGTGACATATCACGAAAAATGTACTCTACAAGCTTAAGAAGTTGAGTGACAATTTGCCTAAAGAGAGTAATACGATAAGAACAAATTTCAGGATGGTAATATGCAAATGTAATGATTGAAGTTGAGCAAAATAAATATTAGTTGTAATACATAAGTTTTTTGGTGCTTCAACAAATATATACTTATTATGCATCCACAGTGTAAAACAAATGAGAGCAAGTTTTTAAAAAACACAACAAAGCTGACCGCACACAATTATGATTATTATAGACTATGTTATCTACTCGGTGAGTACTAGGCGAGTACTCGCAACTCAGGGAGTGGCTGTTCCGTTTAGCAACCTGACTCGGCTGACCCTATTTTCTGAGTTACTCGCCGAGTACTCGGAGAGTTTCTTGTTTCGGTATTTCTTTCGACTCGGTGAGTTACTCGGCCACTCATAAAAGTTTAGCAACCTAACTCCGCTGACCCTATCTTTTGTTAAATTTTAAAAGTTTTAATTTAAAAGTTGTAGAAGACTAGAATTCAATGTCAAACTCTTTGGAATTAGCCCAAGGCACAGAACAGGAACCAGGAGTATATGCCGAGATTTCTTTTAACACCATCCTGGGCAGTCCGACAACAACAACAATGAAACTGCGTGGCTTATTGGCTAACAAAGAAGTATTGTTGTTAGTGGATAGTGGCTCAACTCACAATTTCATATCAGATTCACTGGTAAGGGAACTTGACTTGGCCACTTCCTCTACTCAGACAATTGAGGTTCAGCTTGGTGACGGTCATGTGGTACGTTGCAACTGTGTGTGCAAGGAGATTTCAGTACAACTTCCAGGTTTGACCATCACTTAAGATTTTTATCCATTTTCCCTTGTGGATTCTGATATAGTACTGGGAATTAAATGACTTGCATCACTCAATACCATCCAATCTAATTGGAATGAGATGTTCATCATGTTCTGGGTGAATGGGAAGAAATATAAGTTACACGGAATATCAAAGAGAGAGTGTCAGCCTGCAAGGTTTAATCTTATGACCACAGTGGAATCTGCATTTAGTACACCTGGACGTGACACACTTAATGTGGAAAGGGTGTCCCTAGAATCTGAAGTTGTGTTTGCAGAACCAGTCATTATGCCTCCATTCAAAGATCATTTCCATGCCATTCCTCTGATCCCGAGAGCTCAACCTCCCAGCCTGAGACCGTACAAGCACCCATATTTCCAACTGAATGAAATTGAGCGACAAGTGCAGGACCTTCTCCAGAAAGGGGTCATTAGTCCCAGCTCCATTCAATTTGCAAGTCCTAGATCTCTCATTCAACAACGCTTTGTGTGTCAACAGAGAAAATATGACGCATTATCATCTACTGGTTTGTTAAAACACATACATGCACCACAATTGACTTCGGAAGACTATGCGTTCTTAGTGCATCAATTTCCATAATTTCACCTTGAGGACAAGTCGGCTTTCAAAAGAGGGGCAATGATAGGGTGCTGAAATATCAAAGCCGCAAGAAACGAGGAACAATTGTTGACTGAGTCTTCATTTATTTAGTTATTATTGTTTATTTGTTTAAATGAGTCTGTTAGAGAAATAAGTGGAGTTTGGTGTCATGCATCAGTCCACTAGGGCAGTTATTAGATCATGGATGGAGTCGGTTAATGTGTCAGTTAGTCATTAGATCATGGATGAGTCAGTTATGGGTCAGTTGTATTTCCTTCTTTATAAATAGTCTAGCCATATTCAGGTTGGTATGCAGAATTAATATTAATTTCAGACTTGGAGATTCTCCCTTGGCTTCTACTATCGCTCCTTTGTGAGATACTTAATGTGAGAGAGAAAGTAGGAGAGTTTAGCCGCTCAATTCTTAGCCTCTGATTTCTGGGTTCTATCAGATTGACAACATTGAGTAATGTTGTCATCCAACCCAAAGAGAAGCATATCAGTTCTGATTTCTCTAACTCAAGTCTTTCTCTTCCTCTCCTTCTCATCTCTTCTCCCAACCTTTTAACTCGTCTAACAAGTGCATCACTCGATCTTTTACGCACATGACTAAACCACCGCAATCGAGACTTCCGCATCTTATCTTCTATAGGTGTTACTCCCACCTTGTGTTTGATTATCTCATTACTCAAACGGTCTTTTCTGGTATGTTCACACATCCAACGAAGCATACACATCTCGGCCAAACTCATCTTTTGAATGTAACATTGTTTCACAGCACAATACCCTATATCATACATTAATGCAGGCTTAATAGTAATCCAATAAAATTTACCCTCCAATCTAGTCTGCATGCCTCGATCACATTGAAATTTTGATGCACTCTTCCATTTCATCCACACTGCTCTGATTATATGGGATACATCTCCATTTAAATCACCATCCTTCTGAATTATAAAGCCCAAATAACGGAACATATCACACATTTGTAAAATAGATTAACCAATTAAGGTATTAAAATCAAATCATAATAAAATCAATCAACTATTGCTCCTCATTATTCTATTAGATTGCTCCTTATATCTTTCCATAATATTATATTGTAGCATGCATCATTACACCCCTCCTGGAAAATCAATCTTGCTCTCAAGCTTGAAAACTTTAAGTGGATTTTGAATAACTTCACTAATAAAAAGTGTCTGTGAGATCCTTGTATTCTTGAAGAAGATTGAAAGTTACTCTCAGTGGTGAACTATGGCAAAGGTGATCATCGTCCATTAAAAATTCCATTGGAATACAATGGCAAACTGGGACAGATTCAGTGGACCAAAATGGATCTGGGAACCGATGACGGCGGTTGAGGCATATTTCTGTAGATGAGGTGTTTACTTATGGGGGTGCTTCATCTCCTCCCAAGGAGTCCAATGATTGAGAATAGTTGGCAATGTGGTTAGAAAGTTTCTAAAGCGACTCCTTTAATTGGGGCAATGTTTGTCAATTTGTGTAATTCCTTCTATATCTTTGAGAGGAGTGTGTACTGATCAACACGAAGTGTGAAATTTCCCATGACGCTGGCAACGGAATCAATATGTTACGTATCGAGATTCTTTGCATCACACAAAGAAATATAAATGATAAATGGACAGGACTATGGAAATTTGGGGAGTTTTTCTTCTCCTTGGTTTCTTCTTAATTGTTCTTTTATACTCCGTATTTTATTAGCATAGAAAAGCTCCTTTTAATAGAGGGATTACATGCATATGAATGCAGAAAACAAGGAAAGGGAAATCCAAGAAAATCACTTCTTAAAATAGATTAAATAACGAAGGTATTAAAATCAAATCATAATAAAATTAATCAAGAAAATCAATCAACAATTACTCCTCATTATTCTACTTGATTGCTCCTTATATATTTTCATAATATTATATTGTAGCATGCATTACACTAAGTTTCATCCACTCATGAAGCAAATCACAAGTATCACAAGATAGGACATGAGCTGGCCTATCTACTATGGGGGCAGTGGGGGCAGTGGGGGCAGCTGGCCTTTCAAATCTTTAACACTTTCTTTCGAGCCTCCGACACTTTCTTTCCGATCCTTCTGTGGCATTACACCCAACTTTACTTTCTCCTTTGAATCCATGATAACATCATTATTTTTTCAATTTATCAGTCTAGGCAAGAGTTAATAGATTTGGGATTTGAGTGGGTTGAAAAAAAGACATGCAACCTTGGCAGGAATGGCATTTCCCTTTAGGTTCTTTAAATTCGTTGGGGTGTGGCTACCGAGATTAATCACGTTGTTTTGGAGTTTGTTTTGAAAAAAAAAACTTCTCTAAGACTATGTTCCAAGTTTAGAAATTCAAATTCATTATAAAAACATAATGTTTGACTTTGTTTCAGAACGATGCAATATGTACAGTTTAAAAATATGAAAGAACATAGAGTATTACTTTCTATAAAATTGTGTTAAATATTTCATGTTAATTTTAATGCTTTTCTCAGAAACTTTATCGAAATTATGATACTACGCATTATTTATGTTTAGATAAATATTGTTAATGATATAATAGTATGTAACCTCACCCCCACTGACACAAATTTTTGTATAAGCCACTGATCATACAAGCATGTTTAGATAACTTACTAGAAAAACTTGGGCCTCTTTCACTGCATCCATAGTAAAATTTCGAATATTTTGAATCCCAAATATCTATAGGTGCACGAATACTCCTTTCCTGCATGGCATCAATGGAAGAGCAGGATTGGAGTTTATTAAGGACATATATAGAAAATGTACCCATGGGTTACAAAAATAAACGATGAAGTTCAAAAGCATGATGCTCTCTGAACACAGAAACTATGTATCACTTCCACATTGTGGCTGATTTATCACCGATGTGGAAATTCAGAGCACTTCGTTCCAACTACCAACTGAAAAATTGATCTTGTTACTACAAAGTAGCAAGAACAACCCTTGTGTAGGAGTCTCATGAAGTAAAAATGATGGAGCTCTTCGAAGTTTACCCGCGGGAAGAACCATGAGTGCTGAGAGTACCAGTCGAGATTAGTCGCGACATGGCCAGTGAAGAGAGAGATTAACCCCAAGGCGAAGAGTATCACACCGCATACGGCCGTCCACGAGATTGACCGCCTCGATGAAGATGTGCAGGGGCCAAACCAATGCTGCTTTTGCCGGTGTTGCGCAGCCCCCCCAGCAGTCAGGTTACTCAACGCGCCACCGCCATGCCTCCATGCCTTGGCCATGCCCATCTCTAATTAGTTCCTCATCATCTGTAAGACTGTAACTCTATTCAATACCTGTACACCAAATCTCTTTATATATTACTCCGTGCTGCCTCCTTCCCAAATTAAACTCTTGTAAGTAGATTAATAAACTGAGGAATGCGTGACCTGATCATACGAGGGAGATTGAAGTTTAGATTAGGACGACAGAAAAACGAAAGATATGAAATTTATTTTGGGACGAAAAGAGTATATACATACTCCACTAGGTTTCAAAGAATGAACAAATGAACTTGAAAAAATGAGTTTTTTGCGGAATTAATGTCCGTTCAGGAATTCAAGCTTTTTGATAGAATATTATTAAATTGAAGTCAAATTCCAAAAATATGATCATTTTTTAAAAGGATAAAAAAGTGACTAAGTAGGTTATGTATTTGGAAAAACATGATGTCACTGTCAAATTTTTTGTCACTGTCAAATTTTTATGTCACTATTTAATGTCACTATCGGTTTTCGTGTCACTTTCGGATGTCACTGTCGTCGTAAATCGTGTCACTGTAATTGTTGAAGATTTTTCCGGCGACCTTTTCCGGCAACACAGTCACAATCCAATGTCACCGCCAACCACCCACCGGATCCGCCATCCAACCGCCACTCCGGTCTCTTGTAGATTGCCCTATCCCTCTCCATCCCCTAGCACCCCAAATCAGTGACCACCATCCACCCAATTGCCCACCGCCACCGCCGCCACCGTCTCCCACCGCCGCCGACACAGGCTAGCACTGCGTAGTACCCAGCCCCAGCCACACCCCCTCCCCTTCCCCTACCACATCCCCCACCCCGAGCGCCCTTCCCAGCGGCCAGCTACCTGTTCAGCCAACCTTCCCAACCCTAGCCCCCTCCCCAACCGCCGCACCTCTACCTGCAAGCCGCCGCCCACCGCTGAACCATAGACGTCGTCCGTCGTCGAACCTAGCCATCGTTAAATCGTAGCCGCCATCATCGCCGAACCGTAGCCGCCACCATCTCCGAACTGTAGATGTTATAGCCTTCGTAAGGAGACACGACGAAGAATAAAGGAGAAGCAGATCTGGGAGAGAAACTATGGCTACCTTCGTGGAGCAGACAAGAGCGGCATCGATGCGCTGGTGGAGGTGACGAAGTACCTTCGGTGGAGCAGCAAGACTGGAGGTCTGGGAGTGGAAGAGGATGATGTGGTGGAAGAGCGGATTTGGGGGATGAACTATGGGCTGGGAAATTTTGCAATGCGCAGATCTGGGCGATGAAGAAGACCGGGCGGAAAAGGCTGAAATTTTACTCCCTTTTTTGTCCACACGAATTTTGGTCATATTTTTGTCCAAGGAAAGTTATAGAGTAATATCTATGTCATTGTTTCATAAATAATTCTCAAAATACTGTTGAGTTAAGAATAATTCTCAAAATGTTGTTAACGAGAACTGTGGATAAATAAAGCCGCCACTTGAAGTGGCGACTTACCTGCGGAACTTTTGATTACAACGAAGCACTCCATATGACAACTTCAAAGGTGGGACCAAAGTTTTAGAAAAACAATTATTTTCTTTAAATGAGTATAACTTTTTTATTTTTGCTCCAATTTGTATAAATAATATATCAAAATTCATAATTTTTTGTGATCTTTCATTTGAGAGCAATGTTGAATATATAATTTTTTTCTTTAAAAAATGAAGAACATACTGTGTCCGATTGAAATATAAAAATTCAAAAGTGTATCTCAGTATCTCGGATTGAAACTTTTTTCCATGAGACTATGTTTAGGTTAAAAAATCATAGCATACTTCATACGGAGTAGTTTTTTATGGTCTATCATATGACGAGTTTTGCATATATAACATTAAAAAATGTAAGCCTGATATTGGTCCGATAAAAAGGAAATTTTAATTTTTTTAATGTTATACTATCTTCCGTATCGCATTAGTTGCAACATTGGAATACATACACTATTCATGTATTTTACTTTGACTACATCTTATTTATTAATGTATGTGAATTATTTTTTTAAATATTGTTAAATTCATCTCATTACTAAGTTTTATAATATGATTTTTATTTTATTTTTACCAATACGGAATTAAATATAATGACGGTCAAATTTGTGCATTGGCAAACGTGAAAAATAGAATGCTGCAACTAAAAAGAGACGGAGGAAGTATGCAATATTGGTCTCATATGAGATATCATCATAAATTATGAAAATTGTGAATTCTCACATAATATTTTAGCCTTAACTTGGTTCATTGGGAAAGAAATTTTGATTGGAGATACAATTTTGAATTTTGATATTTCAATTGAACACCGAATGCTATTCAAATCTAAAAAAGTTATATAATTTGTATGCAACATTGGTGTCAAATGGTAGCCCATAAAAAATTGTGACTTATGCAATGATTTTTTAGCCTAAACATAGTCTGGTGGAAAAAAGTTTCAATCCGACATAGTCTGGTGAATTTTGATATTTCAATCGGAAACCGTATGTTCTTCATTTTTTTACAGAAAAAATTATATATTCAACATTGGTGTCAAATGAAAGATCACAAAAATTATGAATTTTGATATATTATTTATACAAATTGGAGCAAAACTAAAAAAGTTATATTCATTTAAAGAAAATAATTGTTTTTCTAAATCTTTGGTCCCACCTTTGAAATTTGGAATTTTATCAATTCAGGACCCGAAAGATAGATTAATTATCAATTCAGGACCCGAAAGATAAAACGTATCAGTATAGGACCTGAATGATGGAAAAGTATCAATTTAGGACCTAACGTTTCATAGGTTTTGATTTATTTAATTTTTTATTAATTCAATTACTAATTTTTGATATACTTTTCTTCACAAAAGTTTATTAGTCTAATAAAACTAAATAATATTTAAAATTTTTAAAATAAACAAAAAAAAAATAAAATATGACAACTTAGGTCCTAGATTAATAGTTTTCAATCATTCAGGTCCTAAATTGATAGTTTTTCATCATTCGGGTCCTATATTGATGCATTTCATCTTTCAGGTTCTGGATTAATAATTCGTCTATCTTTCGGGTTCTGAATTGATAAAATTCCTTGAAATTTTCATATGGAGTACGTGGCTTTGTTTAACCACAGTTCCAACCAGAACTATTTTGGAAATTATTTTTAACCCAACCCTATTTTCGTAATTATTTATTTAATTAGCATTGATTCCGGAAAAAACTCTGAAAAATGTGGGATCAGCGGAGGACCTGGGGTTCCGGGGCAAATACCTCTGCTTCCTATCCTCAAATTTTAGTATTAGCAGTTAAGATAAAAATTGTGTCCCCGCTTCACGGACAAAAAAAAAAGATATAAGGATAATTTCATCGAAAAACATAAAAAAAGTAGTGAAAATGTAAATGACAAAGAAGTTGTGATGGATCGATTCTATGTGGTTAGACATGTTGTTGATATGATCACTAAACTTTCTTTGAAATGTGGCGATAGAGTATATGGGTCCAGACCCCAAGACCCACATACTCGGAAGAATAAGAGGAGGCACAGCTGTCACCCAGTGGGTCCTCCGTCGGCCAGATGGCCCTCCATCGTCCAGAAAGATATCAACTCAGAACATGATCCAGGAGTCAGGAGAACCGGGTGTCTCCGTCGGCCGGGTCTCCATCGGCCGTGGCTCCGTCGGCCACAAAGAGCTCAAAGAGTCGGATTTTATACTTAGCCATTTCTGCATACTTTGTACTCAGCCCAGTAGTGGCCCCATTGTAAATGGGTCTCCCAAGCCCAAGATTTGGGAGTCCAACCCACATTTTCTCTATAAATACTTCATGTGGGAGTAGTTGTAGGGGTTCACAAAATTCATTTATTGCAATATTAATTGTACTTCTCTCTCTAGATCTCACTTCTCTCTAGAACATATATTATATCATTTGGTGCTTTCATTGAAAGATAGAACAATCAAGTTAGCATCCTTCGTCGCTACCAAGCACAGCTAACTGAAGATGGGAAGAGCAAGGTCAAACCGCAACCTCATCGACAAGACGATCCCTGACGCTCAGGAGGGTCGTGAGCGCTCTGGTGACGCTACGACCGAGAAGGCAGCGGAAGAGGAAATCTTCCAGGAAACAATCGACCCCGTAGTTGATCTCCGCAATCAGCTCAACGGTAATGCTCAAGATGCCCGTATCGGCCTTGAGAAGAAACGCATGGAGAAGGGAGACCATGCATCGGAGCAACAGACTACTCCCGTTGTTGACCCTCAGCTTCAGGCCGCTGTATCGGCCATCATAGCCAGTTTGGCTCAGAATCCCACCATCCTCAGCGCACTCATGCCTAGGACGGGGGAGAACACTACTCCGCCACCTCCACCGCCTCAGCCGTTAGTCATGAAACTAGGCAACGACGAGGGTGTGGAGGCCCAGGACACGTCACCATCCCATTCTCATCCTGCTTCCCTTCATCGAGGTGGACTGACCCCAGCGCATGGAAAAGCCTCGGCCTTCAATAGGCTAGGTGACACGTGCCGACGGCCAGTATCGGAGAGGATGGCGGGATGGATTCGTGAACGTGAGCCTGGCTCACCAAGGGAAAGGTTGGGGTCCGTATCCCGGACAGCGGATCGGCCCCGCCTGGACAAAGGCAAGGGAAAGCTGCACGAGGACGGCGCGCGCCACAAAATCAACACGGCTCACGCAGTCCGTGTGCGGACCCAGCAGGGCGCCACTACGGCCGCTAAAGATCCCTAGGACGAAGTTATCACCCAGCTCGAGCGAAGGCTCGCTCAGATGGAGGCCAAGCAGCTGGCCGCCACTCCCACCGGCAACTCATCCAGGGATCCTTGTTTCAATGCACTCCTACACAAGGTCAGCGCCTTGGAGAGGGAGTTGGCCGAAGGACAAGGTGACCCCGTCGTCCAAATCAGGATGAGGACTCCCTTCACTGCAAGGGAACTCTCGGTCCCTATTCCCGAGAAATACCGAGGCAACACCATCAGACCATATGACGGCCGCACTGACCCACAGGAGCATTTCAGCCGCTGTCAGAATAACATGTTGATGGTGAATGTGTCGGACGAGTACCACTGCCGTTGGTTCCTTTCCACTCTTGAGGGACCAGCATATGAATGGTTCAACACGCTCCCCGAAGGAAGCATAGACTCGTGGCAGGATCTTGCCCAACGCTTCCTCACCCACTTTGCTGGGAGGAAACGCGTAAAGAAGTACTTCACCCATCTCCTCTCCGTCAAGCAGCAATACGACGAATCACTTCGGTCTTTTATCGACCGGTGGACGAGGGAGACCGATGAGGTCGAAGGGGGCGATGAGCGCACCCTCCTTG